GGAAAGAGCACAGTTTTCAGAAGGTTTAATCTAACAAGGGAGGATGGAAACCCCCACCGCAACGCAGGCTCTGGATCCAGCCCCATTACTCCGCTCCCTAAACAGCAGCTCTGGCAAAATCAGGGCTACACGGAGCTCCCAGGAGTGAACGAAGCACTCAAAAAAGAGGCAGCATTGCTCTTTGCCCACTAAAAGACCTGATTTTTGAGCAGGTTTCATCACTGGCACCTCCTTCCCCAGGAAACTTCTCACCATTCAAGGCACTGCTGGGACCTGGGTCTCAGCCCAGGAGTGCACAGGCCACAGCCAAGCAGGAAAATCGTGTTTTCCTGCCAGAGTATCGCTGACATGGGAGGCAGGTCCTGCCTCCACCCCGGCCCCGCGCAGCCCTGCACTCCCTCTGCCCGCAGCCCTGGCTGCCCTCGCTCACCAGAGCCCGGGTGGTGCCGGCGGGGCAGGGTGCAGGATGGTGGAGTTTGGAGTTTTGATGACTTTAATTACCAAATATTTTCTACCTCAGGGTGGAAATTAGGCATCAAAGTGTCTCTTGAGCCAGGCTCCATGCTGGCTCCTGCAAATGCTTTCTGCCTTGGTGCAGGCATCGTGTTCCTCACGGGCAGCGGGATGAAGCCGGGCACAGGGTTGCCCGGGGCGGCTGCATCCCTCCCACCTCCACCCTCACTCAGAAAGAGGATGGTGCTCAACAACGCCCAGCCAATTCCTCCTCTTGACATCCAAATCGTGCTCTTTGGCCCTAAACCCAACCCAACCACCGCAGGGTCCCCAACACCCTCTCCAGAAGCAGGAGGACAATGTTCTCCCCACGCCATCCCCCCCAGCATGGCTCACCGTTGTTGCAGTGCCGTATGCAGTCCTGGAAAACTGCCCGCCACTTCTCCTGCTCCTTGCCCGTCATCACGCAGAAGTAATAGTGCCGGGCGTAGGGGTGCCAGAGGATGAGGGGGAAATCCGTGGGGCACTTCAGGATGGGAGAGTGCCCCGATTTGGGCGTCACGCCTGCGGAGGGGGGAAGGATGCTTTAAGGAGCAGACGGGGCAAGACAGGGAGGAGGATGCTGCAGGGTTGGGGGTGTCCATCTCCCCCAGCATTTGGGGCTGGGGGTGTAGCAGGGGCACACAAAACCCCACGGCTCCTTCCCAGTGCCTTTGCTGTGAGTTCTACCAAAAACATGGGGCAAAAAATGTGCAAAGAGCGAGCCTTGTTCTTCCAAAAAGGAAACCAGAAGTGAAAATTGGGGAAAAAAAAAAAAAATCATTATTTCCAGCATGAAACGCTCCTCAGAGCTGCCAGCCTGACCCTGCTGCCATCGTGCACATGCCCTCAACCAGCAAAGGGCTCGCTGCCCTAGGTGAGCTGTTTCAGCAGCTCCTGCCCCACTCCCTGGGGGCTGCACTGGCCTTTAGGGACCTGGGGCAGGAGGACAGTGAGTAGGGTGGTGGCTGGTCCTCCTGGGGGTCTGGATGGAGGAACGGGAGCTGCTGCCTTTGGCCAGGGCTCCGGGGAAAGGGAGGTGGCAGCAACTTGGGGCAGCTCTCACGGAGCTGCAGACACATTTTCCTTCCTTCCCCAGTGGCTGTGGCAGAACCCAAGCAGCAGACACCTCACACTGCACCCTACCCCTCATGGCGGAACGGGACTGTTCTCCTTCCCTATAGCCCCACACCCCAACACCACCCCTTCCCAAAGGTCCCCAGTGGTGCTACACCCCAAAACCACCCTTCCCAAAGGTCCACAGCAGTGCTACACCCTAAAACCACCCTTCCCAAAGGTCCCCAGCAGTGCTACACCCCAAAACCACCCTTCCTGAAGGTTCCCAGAGGTGCTACACCCTAAAACCACCCCTCCCAAAGGTCCCAAGGGATGCTCGCATCCCAAAACTACCCCTTCCCAAAGGTCCCCAGGGGTGCCCATATCCTGAAACCATCCCCTCCGAAAGGTCTCCAAGGGATGCCCAGCAGCATCGGAGTGTAGGTGACCCCAAGCATCCCTATTCACCCCACAGCCACCAAGACTACTCACCAGGCAGGCTGCTGTTCACCAGTTCCAGGTACTGGTCCACGGAGGTAAGGATCTTGTAGCCAGCACTGTTGACCAGCACACGGGGTGGCAAGTCCCGCTCATAGGCCTGAGCAGAAAAAGATGGTCATGGATGATGGGGAGCACAGCCACGCCAGTGCAGCAATGGGGTGTCCCCCTTTGGAGCTGTGCCCGTCGGAGATGGGTGAAAGGGCCCCTCACCAGTTTGTTCTCATAGAGGACCAAGCCATAGTTGTGTGGGACCACACAGAAGCGGTTCCTCCACTTCTTGTTCTCCTCAATGTACTGGAAGAGGTTGCCCGAGTAGATGACGTGGTCCTCCAGGGGGACCTGCGGGGAAGAGACACCCGGTGGGTGGCACAGGGAGGGGGGCAGCTGGGTACCCCTCCATCCCACAGCTGCAGCCTGGCTCAGGGAGCTCAGCAAGGTCCATGTGTGGTGGTTTGGGTGGGGTTTTCTGTGCTAGGGCCATGCTGAGGGTTCCCCAAGTTCATCACTGGATTATCTCCCATAGCACTGCAAATTTTGGTGCCTGAACAGGTGCAGCTGGGTGACAACTTCGAGGGTTACCACATGCACAGCCCTAGAAAACCTCAGAGGGGCTGCTCATACAGGAGTGAAGTTGCACATGGCAGTGTTCACCATGGTGGTGGTCATGCCTCTATCCCAGGCACCTCCTTCCTGGGAGATACACCAAGCTCAGCTGAGTGAGATAAGCTCACTTGCCCAAGCAGTAGGTTGGAGCACAGCCCTCCAGCAGCTCTTCCCAACCTCAACTACTGTGATTTCCCCAGCTTGGGACAGGCGGCTGCATACATGGTACTGCTCGGTAGTGGCCATCAACCAGAAGGTCCTGCCAGGGCGTGGGTCAGAGGCAAGCTGCAGACGGCAGGAACCAAGCCCTGCCCTACCATGGTCTCCAGATGGGACATGGAAGAGGAAAAGCAAGAGACCACCCCACACAGCCCAGCACCAGACGATGCTTAAATGCTCTGGGCTTCACGAAGGACCAGCGATGGGAACATCCCGTGCCCCTGAGTTCCCCTCCGGGGCTGAGCAGCCCCTCACCAGCTCTCCAGCATCTTTTGGCCTGCACGCCGGCAGCGTTTACGCCGTCCCAAACACAGGCTGGCTGATCGAGCCAAGAATTTGTCCCAAGAATTTTTATGATCCCAAGAACATAAACAAGAGCTGAGAGCTCTCGTGAGGGTGGGAGCGTATGGCGACCGCGTCTCCTGCCATGGCCACCCACCATCCATCATGGTGGCCATCAGGTGGGACCAGCCAGGGCTTGGGTCCCACCACGTGCCCAGCACCAGGACCTTGCCTTCTCCTCTCCCTGCTCTGTCCATCTCTGGGTTCACAGGCACCCCATTGCCTTCCCCAAACCCCCCACTGCTCCCCAACCCCCCATCCTCTTGGGTGGTAGGGAGGTCTGAGAGCAGCCTGGCTCAGCAAACAAGCTGACAGCACCTCACTGCTCCTTACTGCTTTCCAAAGGCCTTGGATGGGGGAGAAGGAAACATGAAGCAAGCCCTGCAGGGCTGGGGGACAGTAGGAGCGATGAGAGCCCGAACCCTGAGGCCACAAGCAGGGATGGGGACAGAAAAGTGGCTCCGGGAGTCCCCGTCAGTGTCTCACTGGGGTGGCTCATCCAAGGGGATTCAGCCCTTATAAAGTAGCTTCGAAACCGCTGCCAGAGGCAGACAAAGCCGTACAGACCAGCTGCTAATGAAATACCACCCAGGCTGAGCTCCGACATGGGTCCGGGGGACCCTCAGCCGGGGAATGGTGGCTCATGGCCACCAGCATCCCAGGCGCCCACAGCACAGCTGTCCCCTCCTCGCACACCCTCCTCGCCCAGGGGAGGCACCGAGGCGGCACCACCCAACCCCAGCAAATATTTGGGACAGGCAGGTATGTGCCAAATTGCTAGGCTGGGCAGGGAGGGGGCTGGGGAGCGCGCGGGC